AGGAGATCGTGTTAATGGGTTTTAATTGATTGAATCAACAGATCATACACACCCTTTAGACTGTAGCTTAAGCATGACTCAGCTTTTAAGGATATCAACATACGGATGTGTGGCAAAGGCTGTGGACTTAATCAGAGTTGCTGCCTTTAATAGTTGATAATGAAAAATGGCACCTATTCAATGATTACATTAAAAATGACCAAAAAGAGTAAATGACTATGTATTCTAACCACTTTAGATGCTTTAATCGACAGATCAAGATATGCATTCACAGTGGCTTTAATAGGTTTCCTATTTTGATACTGCAACAATCTTAATTTTAGTTTGTTGCTTTTATTCTGTGCAAGTAGAGTGCCAGTAGAGACGTACCCCAAAAAACTTCCAACTAAACTGAACAAAAGCGTAAAGTTCTACAGCATTGAACCATTCGTAACATTGTCATGTTACCTGTAATAGAAAGCAAAACAAAATATAAGCCTATATACATTTGTGATTACTTCTGATCTCTGAATAATGCTACATAATCAGGGGGATTGTTGATTGTTTATTCCATGATTGAATGATATTGAAAGAAGCAGCACTTAAAGTTTTATTATATGATTAATATCCTGGTCATGAGCAGACATTAATGGGTTTGTTTATAGGTGACATAAAAAATGTCACCTTTTCAGGGGGAATTGTTAGGATAATTATCATTAAAGATGTGTTAGTTTATTAAACCTTGGTATTGGCTTCCTGTTGTGTGTCAGAACTGATGTTTTCCACAATAGTTAATCTAATTAAGACAGTTCCTCTGTCTGGATATAAGTTATAATCTTCATTCTGTTGGTGGCAAAGATTTGGAAATGGAGTGAGAGCGGTGTCCTTCAGCTAAGAACAAAGTGTAATATTTTGATAAGGCTGGAGCCATGGATGTCTCCTCATCTGCTAAAAGTGTATGATGTAATGATATGATGATGTGGCAGACTGGAGTAGACTGTGTAAAATGCCTTTTTAACTGTTAATCAGGGCCACTTCCTTATAGGTGAGGTGAGCAGCTGCCATTCTGTAAACTCTAAGCAATTTCTCTGATCTGAGTAAAATTCGATTTCTATCAGAATCTGTTGTCATGTCTTCTGGTTATTTAATACATATAAGTTATGAAGTGTTACTTAGAGAGTTTGTCTTGAGTGATCTCTTTTACAATAGCCAACTTTGTGTTTGCTCCTCACATTATATTGCAGTGTTCATCTTATAACACTTGAAAAGGTTTAAGGGTTCTGAATACTTTTCCAAAAGAAAGGTTCAAGTTGTTTCAAAAATCCCAACCCAGACATTGTGTTGGTGTAAGATATTCTGACAAAAAAACTAGACGTCTTACTCCAAAGCAACAAACATAGATATTTTACAACTGGAGATTTTAAAAATCATAGTTATCCACTTAGCTACAAACTTTGTTGGGCTTCTAATAAAAAAGACAGAAAAGTATAGGACAAGATCAGCTTTACTGGAAACATACAATACTTACACAAGCTTCTTTATTTGAGGTAAGTGTAGCTCTTGAATGTGAATGTGTGCACATTTGCACACATCTATCCATCAATCCAGGGTACACACTGGACAGGTCGCCAGTCTATCGCAGGAACATTTGCTCACAGTGACTAGGATTTACATCATGATTTAAATGCCCTAACAAATATACACTATATTGCCAAAAGTATTTGCTCACCTGCCTTGACTCACATATGAGCTTAAGTGACATCCCGTTCCTAATCCATAGGGTTCAATATGACGTCGGTCCACCCTTTGCAGCTAGAACAGCTTCAACTCTTCTGGGAAGGCTGTCCACAAGGTTTAGGAGTGTGTTTATGGGAATTTTTGACCATTCTTCCAGAAGCGCATTTGTGAGGTTGCACACTGATGTTGGACGAGAAGGCCTGGCTCTCAGTCTCCGCTCTAATTCATCCCAAAGGTGTTCTATCGGGTTGAGGTCAGGACTCTGTGCAGGCCAGTCAAGTTCATCCACACCAGACTCTGTCATCCATGTCTTTATGGACCTTGCTTTGTGCACTGGTGCACAGTCATGTTGGAAGAGGAAGGGGCCAGCTCCAAACTGTTCCCACAAAGTTGGGAGCATGGAATTGTCCAAAATGTCTTGGTATGCTGAAGCATTCAGAGTTCCTTTCACTGGAACTAAGGGGCCAAGCCCAGCTCCTGAAAAACAACCCCACACCATAATCCCCCCTCCACCAAACTTTACACTTGGCACAATGCAGTCAGACAAGTACCGTTCTCCTGGCAACCGCCAAACCCAGACCCGTCCATCAGATTGCCAGATGGAGAAGCGCGATTCGTCACTCCAGAGAACGCGTCTCCACTGCTCTAGAGTCCAGTGGCGGCGTGCTTTACACCACCGCATCCGACGCTTTGCATTGCACTTGGTGATGTATGGCTTGGATGCAGCTGCTCGACCATGGAAACCCATTCCATGAAGCTCTCTGCGCACTGTTCTTGAGCTAATCTGAAGGCCACATGAAGTTTGGAGGTCTGTAGTGATTGACTCTGCAGAAAGTTGGCGACCTCTTCGCACTATGCGCGTCAGCATCCGCTGACCCCGCTCCGTCAGTTTACGTGGCCTACCACTTCGTGGCTGAGTTGCTGTCGTTCCCAAACACTTCCATTTTCTTATAATACAGCTGACAGTTGACTGTGGAATATTTAGGAGCGAGGAAATTTCACGACTGGATTTGTTGCACAGGTGGCATCCTATCACAGTTCCACGCTGGAATTCACTGAGCTCCTGAGAGCGACCCATTCTTTCACAAATGTTTGTAAAAACAGTCTGCATGCCTAGGTGCTTGAATTTATACACCTGTGGCCATGGAAGTGATTGGAACACCTGATTCCAATAATTTGGATGGGTGAGCAAATACTTTTGGCAATATAGTGTAAGTACTTCAAACTTAAATATTCTATCTTACTCAAAAACTTTGAGGTATTTGGTTTCCACAAATATTTTAAGTATTCTGAACTTATTCGAGTTTATAGTGATAAGCAAACACACAGGTAGGATGAATAAATAAAAAAAAATGACTCAGAAAGCACAGACCTCCACCAAGCAGCAAATGTTCCCCCAAATTGAGACTTACGCCTGCAGCTAAAACTGACACATGATCTGGACCATTACCAAATTTAAATGAATTGTTCTATGAGGGACACCTATGATAAAAAAAAATGTAATTAAAATCCATTCATAACTTTTCATGTTATCCTGTACAAAGACAAATACACACAAACAAACTCTACGAAAAACATACCTCCTTATTGGCAAGGGTCAATATGGAAATATAAAAATTTTGAATTAACAAAGTTGTATATGAAGGGCTTCATGACAGTTTTAAAATAACAAAAGTATAAAAACTGATCAGAGATTATAGGCTACACACCTATCTTAAGTGTGTGTATCTATATCAATGTTTTTGTACATATTTTTTTTTTATAATTTGACAATACTTGCTCCATAAACACATTTGCAATGTGCTTATTATGTTAACTTTCTGTATGTTTTTTTAAATTCTCTTCTAGTAAATCTTTTTCATGTATATGTATCAGACATTACGATATAACATGTTCTACTGATTCATTCTATTCTCACTCATGTTAGGTTTTTGTATTTTAAAAGGTGTATAATCATATACTGTATCTCAAAATCGTATTTCTGTTCATCTTTCCTTCTTTCTGCTCCTGCTTTTTATTTCATCTATTTATCTATACTCAGTTTATTAGATAGGGACGGATATGTGAGCAAATTTGCAGCACTTGTCCCTAGGAAGACTTTATAAACAAAGCCTAAATCCAGAGGATTAGACAGAAAATTTTAAAAAGGTTGGCCAGTCAAAAACCAATGCACACTGAGGGGTGGCCGAAAGTGGATAGGTGCCAGACCCTCAGGGTCAGTCTACACTGTTCCGACAGGAACGAGCACAACATCCATATTTTCTAAATAAAGACAATCTATACTTTCCTACAGCCTTTGCTAACAAATAGACATTTATATTTAAACATCCATGCTGTCTAAATAAAAGGTAGTAAAAGGTAGTGGACAAATTTTTGTGGCGAACATCTTTCCCATTTTCATTATTTACCGGTACCTACTTTTATCAAAAATTGTTCTGCATAAAATTACTATCTATATGTACTAATATCTACATTAAATTGATTGTGGTTAGATTGATTGAAGCTATTATTGTTGTTATTATTATTATTATTATTATTATTATTATTATTATTACTATTATTATTATTTGTAGAATTAATAAAGGGTTTTTGATAGAATTTATCTAGGATTTCACTGAAGACTCCTAGATGACTTGCAGAGAATTTTCTCTTTACCCCATATAACACAAAATTTAGTTCTGAAGTGAGCATGAATTCTGTATATATCAACTTTAATGTGCATAATTATTAGTTGTCAAGTGATTTTCAATATATGAAAAATTTAAATGTTTAATAAACATTCCCCCTGAGAGTCTGTATTAGAGGGCGAAAAAAATGGTAGGGTAAGGGTGGCCATGGCCACCTCTGGCCCCCCATCTAGCTCTGCCCCTGCCTAAAACACAACTATAAACAGAGTAATGATTAAAAAAATGTAGCCTTTTTTGATCCTTTTAAACATCCCCATTTTCTAATCAAGCTCATTCTTTCTGGTATAATAACTTTATTGTTTTCTATTATCATTAGTTAACCTCTGCATGTATAAAATGAATAGGCTGGATGCAACCCCTTCGTGTTATAAAGTGGGCAGAGGAGGGCCCTCCCTTTCCCTTCATCCTTTGTCTTATTCATATCAGTTTATTTAGTAGATAAAAACGAATGACTTGTGGTAAATCAAGTTAAACAACATGACTTTGCTGTTCTTACCTTTTAACTCCCCCCTCACTTTTTCAACCAGATATCAATCATGAGGGCGAGGAGTGGCCTTAAACGCACCACGCAGAAGGAGGCGTCTCCGCGGTGTAGAAGTCAGAGGGACCGTATAAAGAAGCCCTCCCTGTTCAGACCGTGTAGCTCTCTCTCCCTCTGTCCTCCTCCTTACCTGTAGAAGCGACCTCCTGTGAAGCTGTGATGGACCGCTGGAAGGGCAGGGTGGCTTTGGTGACCGGAGCCTCGGTCGGAATCGGAGCGGCTATCGCCAAAGAGTTGGTTCGGTCCGGCATGAAGGTTGTGGGCTGCGCACGGAACGTGGACAAAATAAAGGTTTGCTCCACTTTAAGCGCCTTCTTAGGAGAAAATTTGGAAAAAGTTACAAGTTTGACGCAATTTCATCTAAAAATGCTGAGAAAGTATTTTAAAGTTATAATAATAAAAAAGAAAAAAACGTTCAGATATAATTAATCTAAAAAAAAAACATTTCAAACATTGAGCCGTGTTTGTGATTGAGTCTGATAATATTTAAGAAAGATGCTTTTTTTCTTTTTCTTGCAGCGATTACATAATCAGGAGAACAAAGCGTGTTTGGCATTTTTCATAAGGAAACAAAACCCCGTTTACACAAGGGTCCTGTTATGCAATAGATTAAGCAGAATAGTTTCCAGTTAAAATCCAAACGGGACTGGTTTGCAACAGACTTGTTTTTTTTATTAAATATTGTTGTTTCATGGATCAAAGCAAAATCCAAAATTCTGGAATAAAATATGTTTAATGAATGTATTAGAAATGGAATAAATGGGCTCTGATTGAAAAGAAGGGCCCTACTCTCTCACACACTTACTTTTCCTGTATAGGCTTAAGTCCTCATAAGATTAGGCTTTCTACATGTAGTAAATATTTAATCATCTGCCAGAAAGTCATTAAGTTTTTCATTTAGGAAAAACTATGATCGCATGTGTTTCAGTTAATGATTCTGACAGGATGGTACTTTTTTAATATTAAAAGCAAAAAGGCATCAAATTCATAGAGTTAGAAGTACAGCTTTTATAATTATTATATTAGCTTTTTTTCCACATTTAAGCCATGAGTTTTTAAGTGTTAATGTCTGTAAACCATAAAAACCTGCAGTTGTTGGACTGTTGCGGATTCGAACCCGTCACTGCTTCAGTGACTTGCAATATGCTTGATAGGATGGGCCTCCAGGTGCTTAAGAACATTAGTGCTTCATCTATAGGTCGCTCTAGTGTGAGCTGCCAGATTTCACAAATAATATCCTGGATAGGAATTGAAACATTTTTCAACAAAATAGCTTCAATTTAATGCTATTTTGTTGTTGCCATTAACCTGAATATGTCAGAAAATACATTACACAGATGTTGGTGACACATTCTTCTTCTATTTAGAAGCAATTTCAAATAATTTCTTCAACAAAAATGAATGTATAAATGATCATTTCAGCACAAATTATAATAACAATCTCAAATATCTTGTCATTTTTTTAGGCGCTGGCTGCAGAGTGTAAAAGTGCGGGCTACAGCGGGGTCCTGATCCCATTCAAATGCGACCTGACCAATGTGGAGGAGATCCAGTCCATGTTCGCTGCCATCAAAGCTAAACACAAAGGCGTGGACGTTTGCATCAACAACGCCGGCCTGGCTCATTGCGAGCCTCTGCTGAGCGGCAAAACCAGCGCCTGGAAGAACATGCTTGATGTAAGAGCTCACTGTTAATCTAAAAATGTGAAACTGTGAAAGTTTCAGAAGTAGAGGTGCTACTCAAATATCAGAGGTGTCCAAACAATGAGCAGTGCAGAGAGTTGGTCAAGATAATGAAGACAGGGAAGGAAACTTTCTATGGAAGCATTAACAGAAAATCCACTTTTGCAGGTCAACGTTATGGCTCTGAGCATCTGCACTCGTGAGGCATACCAGTCCATGAAGGAAAGAAACGTTGATGATGGTCACATCATCAACTTAAACAGGTAGATTTTGATTATTACTCATCCGGTTCACCTTAAATATGCTAATAAACGAGGATGAAATTAGTTTAAAATTCTTTGTATTATAATAAAACACCTATGGGCTCATACTGTTCTCAGTTTAAAAAGTTAGACCAATATAGATAGATAGATAGATAGATAGATAGATAGATAGATAGATAGATAGATAGATAGATAGATAGATAGATAGATAGATAGATAGATAGATAGATAGATCACAAGTAGATTAAACATCTGTACTGTAGAATTTGAACATTTATAATACATTCTAATAAACTTTCCATGATGGATATTTGCTGATCAGTTCCAATTAAAAATCCAAAGAATTTCATTATCTTTGAATGTTTACAACTTCTGCCATTTCAATCCTTTTCTTTTTTTTCTTATACATTTCCAGTCACCATTTATTTACATAATTTAACAGATTGCAAAGCCTTAATTGGCATTACTGCACTGAATCTTATCGTGGAAAGTGCATTTTCTATCTATATGTGAGCTGATACAACAACAACAGAACTCTTTGTGAAATGAAAGATAGAGAAAAGACAAAAAAAAATATTAACTCTTGATTAACAAAAGCTAAACTTAGATGGTTATAACAGTTTCACCCCCGGCATCCACTTAACTTTTGTATTTGACTCATAGCTGAGTTGATAATACAAATTACAACATCCTAAACTTCCCTAATAATGTCATGAGAATCCAGGACTTCATTTCAAAATATCCAAATGATAATGTTTAAATATTCAAAGTAAACTGAGACATTTTTCATGACAATACAACGGAAAATTTACATCTAATTTGAATAGATGAAAACTATTCAAGGTTCTATGTTGTTTCATCTGGGTTTACAGAAAATTTACAGCAAGATTATCATACATTTAATATGGATATAATACAGGAATACCTATGGTAGAAATTAAGGAAAGTTTTGCATCACTTCTTGTAAGCTGGAAGAAATAAAATCCTGAAAGTTAGACGAAAGCATGTTTTACACTAGGCTGGTGTGTTTGAGATTTAAACGCAGACTGTGTGCTGAATTTAGTGGCACAAAAAAATCAGGCAGCAGGTCTTCCCAGAAATCTTAATCTATTACTGGTACGAAGTACCTCACCCTTGCTGAGCTGTTGCTGCAGCATAAAACCTGAATGGAACTTACTTCAGAATCGCATTCCTTTAGAAAATGCATAAAAATGCCCTTTGTTATGTTCAAATATACAATGGTGTCAAAGACAATGGGTTACCTATGTTTTAAAACCAGAATTAAACCCGTGATTAATCTTAAAATCAAGCTGTAGGTTTAATTTAATTCAAGATGTCAATCATACCTTTCCAGAAGCTCTTGGGGAATTATATAAACTAGGTCTGCAACTAATGATTATTTTGCAAATTGATGAATCTGTTTATTTTTTTGATTAATAATCGGATAGCCATAGGTTCCTTAAAGAAGAATTTTTATGAAATGAAACCAGGTGAAATCAAAACTTTCCCACTTAAGGAGTTCTAGATAGAAACTATTTTGTTTTGTTTTTTCCTTAAATGCAAAATGTGTATATATTTTTTTACATTTTCCATATATTACTGCTCTACTCTATACTCCAGTTAACGATTCATTGATTACTGAATTAGTTGATGATTATTTCAATAATCAATTAATCACAGTTAATCTGTTTAATTGTTTTAGCCCTAGTATAAACATTTAAAACCATAATATAAAACAGTCAAATTCATTTAGTAAATGCCTCACTGGTTATATGTCTGTTTTGTTTTGTTTTTCCAGCATCTGTGGACACGTTGTAATTAACAGTGGGGATATTCATTTCTACACGGCCACCAAATACGCTGTGTCGGCGCTGACTGAAGGCCTGAGGCAGGAGCTCATTGAGGCCAAGACTCACATCAGATCCACAGTACGGCTTCAGTCCTCATTCCTTTTTTTATTTAAGACAGTCTTTGTACTTGTTTGCTTCAGATTAAGATCAACCCATATTGACCTCTTTGAGAATATTATGGAAGTAAAAACATTTTAAACAGTAGATCAGTCATCTTCACATTAAGGAGCGTTTGTTGCAGTAAAGCCTCATGACTCAAGCTGCTGTGTTTCTAAAAAGACAGATTTTGTTGTTTTTATTTATTATTTTTTTAATGCATGACTGATGATGAATAAGACTTCTTATTCCTTCACCTTTATTTACTTTTATCATCAATGTGTCAGGCCTAGCTGGTTCTGTAGTGTATTGTAGCTTAGATGTGTTTTGTTTTTTTCAACTGTCAACTTATTTTCCCTTTCTCACTGCAGTGCATTTCTCCTGGCATCGTTGAGACTGAATTTGCTTATCGGGCTTTCAGCGACAGCCCAGAAAAAGCTAAGGCAACTTATTCTATGCTTAAGGTAAAGATTTTAGAAAATTATATTCTTAATATTTTGCACTGCTTTAATATGATCTAGACTTTTTTTTTCAGGAATAAAGTAGGTAGTAAATGTTTATCTTACTTTACAGCCTTTGGCAGCAATAGACGTCGCTAATGCCGTCGTTTATGTCCTAAGTGCTCCTCCTCATGTTCAGGTAGTTAATGGTTTCTAAAACTTTCTGTTTTACTTTTGTCCTATCTCTTTATCCATAGTTATCTGACCTTTACCACCTTATTTTACAGGTTGGAGATATTGTGCTGCGACCTGTCGAGCAACTGGCATGATGCTACACCATCTGATGACTACATTTATAAAACAGCGCATTTTTCATAGGATTTATTTACAGCATTTATGAAATTGATGACTGTAATCTTTAATCAAAGGAATAAAATTGTGATTTTAAAGATGTAGCGTATCAATGCTGAGCTTTTTTTAAAGTGCCCTGCAAGAGGAATCCTACTTTTCCACATTTGATCCTGTTATCACCTCAAACATTACTTTTTATTTATATACTCTATATGAATAAATGAATGGGATTTTATTTAATGTGTTTAACCATGAAAGGATTTTTTTTTAAATGCTTACACAAATTTCTTTTTTCTGAAAACCTTTTGCTCATCCATCATTCTCATGAGAAGGCTATCCTTTTACTTTTTGGTTGTATACGACTTACCCTTCTTTTGGCATGCAGTTCTCAGTCTCAGATTTCAGATATCAAATAAAAACTATGCTATATAATGTTGATGACTGTATGGTGTTTGTTTTGGAAAGCTTCTTTCTTATAATGAAGAATCATAAGTAAGTAGCATTCCTCAAAAAATATAAGTTTAAAGATTAATTGTCAGAAGTAGAAAAGGGGATAAATGGATAGAGGTATGACTGAGGCTGACTTTGACATTCAGGGGGAAACGGGGGCTTGAGGAATGAAGATTCAGCATGGGGATAAAATCTTTGTTAAAAATTATCTATTCTTTCCCCAAGCTCTCATAGGATCCCCCAGATGAAACCTGCAACAAAAGAGCAACAGTGGGTTCTTAGATTCAATCAGTTTATTTATATAGCGCTAATTCACAACACATGCCATCTCGAGGCACTTTACAATTCACCAGATCATACAGTCAAATTAATTCAAAGTTCTCTAAGAAAAACCAGTTCGTTGCATCGACTCATTGACTCGAAGGCAATCCCTCACACTAAGCATGCTTGTAGTGACAGTGGAGAGGAAAAACTCCCTTTTAACAGGAAGAAACCTCCAGCAGAACCGGACTTTAAAGTGAGCGGCCATCTGCTGAGGCCGACTGGGGTTCAAGGAAACAGAAGCAGAGATACAAAAAGCAGCTGTAGAAGGCAGCCCCGTCCAGGAAACACACAGCCAGGCAGACGAGCTCCGAACCAGCTCCCATGTCAGAGGATGATTGAGAACATCCAGCCAGTCACAGTCAGAGAAACAGGACTACAGTGAAAAACAGGCCGATCTCCAATATCTATAAACAAAGGTGTTTATGGCAGCAGCACAGCTGATATTTCTTTCCAGGATGGTGTCACAGCCAAACAGGAACAGACGAGGTGAAGCTACTATGAGAAAAGACAGAGAGAGCATAATGTTAGAGATTGAACTAACAGATTCTACAGAGTGGGAGAGTAGAGATAGAATGATGAAATAGGGGCCCCTATGTCCTCCAGAAGTCTAAGCCTATAGCAGTATAACTATAGAAATAGCCCAGGATAACCTAAGCCCCTCTAACTATACAGTAAGCTTTATCAAAAAGGAAAGTTTTAAGTCTACACTTCAAATTAGACAGGGTGTCTGCCTCAAAACTTGTAGTTGCTCCCATTCTACTTTAAGAAATTCTAGTAACTGCTAGTAAACCTGAAGATTGAGAGCAAAGTGCTCTGTTAGGGATATAAGGAATAATCATATCTCTAATATGATTGTTGCTTGGGCATTTAGGAGATGGAGGTAAGGAAAAGGGGCGCAGATGAGGGAATGAAAGGAAGGGCACAGGGGATAATTGGATGAAGGGATGAGGAGGGATGAGAAAAGCAAGTAGAAGGTAAAGGGAGGGTGGGGTTGAGGAAACACAAAAGACTGAAGAATGGGAGGACTGAGTATGAATACCCTGCTATTGAAATGTCAAGGAGTAGTTATGCACGTTGGCCAGCTCATGAACTCTATGTTCACATATTAACTTCATGTCAGACAAACTTTCTGTTTGGATAACATAGGCTTTAGAAAGTTACACAACCTGTCTGAGGCTATGGGTTTTACTAAGCCATATAAATGAGAATTTTTCAAGAAAATCTATACTTTAGAATCTCCTTTTTCCCTCTTAATTGCAAACGAAAATTTTGAGTGAAAGTGAAAAATTACCTTAGCCCCACTCAGTACGACATTAACCACTGATTTGTTTTGGCAGTTTTTTTAAGTGAATAGTTGCTCTGAAACAAAATAATTTTAAGGCAAATTATTTAAAACTTGAAACAAAAACAGGCCTTCACAAATCTTTCCTCATGGTCAACATATAGTTGTTTCCTTTGATGTTATATAATGTCAGACAAACCTATGTTATGGGGGGAATATGTTTTTTTAGGCTAATTCCTTAAGTCATTACAAATTGTGTGAAGGCCCCTCAATGAAACAAGAGGAATAGTTAATATAACTGTGCAAAAGATGTGTAATGCTTGTTATTGTATTTTCTGAGCAGAGGTATTCATTTTTTACAAGCATATCATTTTTAGTTGCATAAGAGGACAGTTTGTTAAACTGTTTTATTTGATTGAAATGAATGAACTAATACACACCATTTAGAGTGCTGCTTAAGCATGACACAGCAAGAAGTGACAGTGAATCAATCATTAGTGTGCTAAAGGTCCTTTATTCAATAACATCTGCCTCTCATAGTGACTGTTGACCTACAGCACTGGTTTACAACCCCAGTCTTCAGTGTCATTTCTTATGTTAAGTTTGCCAGACAATGCAAAGGAGTGGCTCATTATAAAGTTGAATGTACTTGTTAAATGGTTTTGAAGCTTTTTTTTTTTTTACATAAGAATCTAAGAGAATGAGTCATCAGTTTTTATTTAGCTTAATTTAATTTGGTGATTGTCTTTTCCATAGAGTTCAATATAGACAGTTGTCTATAGAAGTCAGCTAAGTGTATGTGAACAGCCAAGGTGTAATTTAATATTAGTATGACTCCAGCTGTTCTTGGGAGACCTCAGAAGTTTGTTAAGAAACATAAGTGACAAGACAAGACATCATCAATAAGAATAAGATACACAGTAGACAGTTAGAGGAAAAGTTTTAAAGACATTTAAAGCAGGGTTAAATTAAACAATAAACCTGCAAACCTTCCAATGCTTGGCTTTTTACCTAAACGGATGCAGTAAGGTAAGGAGTCCAGTTAAGCAGTAATCAGCTTAACAGCAATACTGACTCAATTTGATCTAATTCTCAGGTTGAAGAATCTGTTGCCTGGAAAACATTTATTATGCAATTTAAAATCGGAGCCAGTGTTAAAGGATCCTAGGACTAAAAGTGGCTTTTAGTCACGTACTTTAAGAGAAAAATCTTAGATTTTTTTTAATTTTCAGATCTTTATTAGAATTTTTTTCTTGGTAAGATGAGAGCTGATCACATAGACCTCTTACAGTGAAAAAATATTAAGAGGAGTGAGGAGCAGTTTTAGTGAGACTAAAAGAATTTCTGAAGCATATATGATAGAATAGAATAGAAAATAATAGAATAGAATAAAAAAAGGACAGAATAGAATAGAATAGAATAAAAACATGTGAGAAAACTGTATAATAAATACATGATAGGGACTAGTTTAAAAAAATGAAATACTGTACATGCACTGTAAACACTTTACAGTGCATGATGATGATGTTGATGAAGGAAATACAGAGATGTTGGGCTGATCAATCCCCCTAAACAGAAATTAACTTCTTTAACAATCATAATATTATTTATCAACCTTCCCCTATAGGAAGAAATTAATTCAATTCTATGGTCACTTTAGGTGCACCTCCATGACTACCAGTTTTAAAATGTAAAAACAATATTATACAGAAACATCCAAGTAATCTTAACAACTTTAAATTTCCTCTTTCTATTGAGATCTATCTATCTATCTATCTATCTATCTATCTATCTATCTATCTATCTATCTATCTATCTATCTATCTATCTATCTATCTATCTATCTATCTATCTATCTATCTATCTATCTATCTATCTATCTATCTATCTATCTATCTATATTGGTCTAACTTTTTAAACTGAGAACAGTATGAGCCCATAGGTGTTTTATTATAATACAAAGAATTTTAAACAAATTTCATCCTTGTTTATTAGCATATTTAAGGTGAACCGGATGAGTAATAATCAAAATCTATCTGTTTAAGTTGATGATGTGCCCATCATCAACGTTTCTTTCCTTCATGGACTGGTATGCCTCACGAGTGCAGATGCTCAGAGCCATAACGTTGACCTGCAAAAGTGGATTTTCTGTTATCGCTGCCATCTTCAAGCCTCCATAGAAAGTTTCACTTCCCTGTCTTCATTATCTTGACCAACTCTCTTCACTGCTTATTGATTGGACACCTCTGATATTTGAGTAGCACCTCTACTATCTGTCTGTCTGTCTGTCTGTCTGTCTGTCTGTCTGTCTGTCTGTCTGTCTGTCTGTCTGTCTCTGTCTGTCTGTGTCCGTCCGTGCGTCTATCAGTCACCCATTCTTAAATAAGCTGACATATGCCAAGTTGTGTTAAAGGTTTTTATATCTCTTACATTGTTTAGTAAATCACCTACACAAATCGTATCCCTTTATGCCTAATATGTTCTTGAACATATTTATCGTTTAGAACCTGCAGTTGCAAATGAGTGAGAAACAAATCCATTCTTAAAGCATGTGGACCCCCTGAGATAACCTTTTACTTTCCTTACCTTACCTTCCTCCCCCAACAAAAAGTCCACCTCTGCCACTTCTGGCAAGGGAAGTTTAGAAAATGGATTCCAATTCCAGACAGTGGATGCCCTACATTAAATCATCTTCACCACTTGAAGGAACACTTGCATCAAACAATCGTAACGGATTTTTGAGGTGATTACAGAAATGGATCAGATACTCATTACTTAGTCATTTTTTTTTTTTAAGTATTGTTTCTCTTTCGTTCAGGGGATTAACCTTTTTCAGTTAAGTGGTAATAAATTGCTTACCCAGTTTTAATTTCTTTGGTCCCACTTTCTGGTCCTACATTTTTTATTTCCATTTAATACATATGTATGTATCTATGCTCCAATGATGCAATGTAGTTCTGTTGAGCTTCTCCTTGGCACCTTCAGCAATCCTGAGCGCTGCACCAAGTGCAGGATTTTTTTATGCATTTATTTATTTTTACAGAAAACCATTGGTTT